TACCCCATGCGTGTGTGAGTGTGTGTGTGTACTTTGGGTCTTTTCTCTGTAGTTTCCCTCATTATGAGAAAGCTCTTTAATGTTTGTCTCCCAGTGGAGAGGAGAGGGGAGTGTGAAACTGTTATTGCAGAGAGAGAGAGGGAAAGAGAGAAATCTATGGGAGGGAGCCAGACAGACAGTCCTGCTCATGTGGTATGATCTCTCAGATGATGACACCCATATTTGCCTCACTGGCATCTGCGGGGGCACCTACGCTCATGCATGTGTGCACGGGGCTCATCTGTCTGCTTGTGTGACCTCAGCAATAAACTTGCCATTGATGGCGAAGAAAATGATTGGGGTGTTTTGCTTAAGAGGATAATGTGGGGGTTTTTTTTTGGGGGGGGGGTTTGGGGTGAGAGATAAGAGGAGAAAGGAGAGAGCAAAGAGGTGCAGGATGGGGGGAATAAAAGAGGCTGAGGAGAGATGATGGCAGGCAAGGAAAAGGCCAAGTCTGCTCCCATCAGACTCGAACTGTACATAAGAGTGACTGGAGAGCCCTCAGGATTGTGTGTGTGTCAGTGTGTGTGCAGGGGGTGGTATATATCCGTTTGTGTATGTGTGTGTCAGGGCATGCTCTGTTGGCCACTGATAACCCCACAGCAGAACTGTCACAGTCACGCTTTCACTCAAAGTCACAGAATTGTGGGCACAGACTGTGTGTGTGAGTGAGTGTGCGCATACAAGGGTCTGAGTGTGTGCTTGTGTCCATCTGCCTCTCTCGGTCGTTGTCTGCCTGCCTCAGCATCAGTCTCTTGCTATAGTCCCTGATACCTCTCCACTATCAGAGGCCACGATTAAAAACGCCTCAGTGGCCGCGCGGACAGTCCACAGATCTGGGGAGAAACTCAGAGAACATTGTGCAGAATAACTGGAGCCTCGTGGCCATTACTCCTGCACTGTAGCTGAGCAGCCAGCTGGGGTGCCAGGAGGCGCGTTGGTGCGCTGCCGATGAAGCAAAACAGAAAAGAAGAAGTTGGTAGTTGCTTTGTTACTCGCCAAGGGCTTCTCAAATTGGGACCCAAGTTTAATTCGCTGGAAGATAAAAGGGAAAAGATAACAGAGATATATCGCCACTTGTGCTCTTTAAATGTTTATATTTTTAGAAGGAGGCACTCTCCTCCGTGTTTTCAATGAGTTTGATAACTCCAGGCAAAGGGAAACTGTGTAAATGACATAGGCTAATAAAAAAAAAAAAAACACTCTACCAGCTGTCAGAGGTGCTCATTAAAATCATTTTTTCTCCGCCAGTGCCTGAGGGCAGATTTGACACAGTTTGCAATTTTTAAATTCACAAATATTATTAGCGATAAATATTAACAGTTGAGTTTGACAGCTCTTCACTTCTTAATGATTTGTAGTCTCCTGTTTTGACTGATGTTTAATAATTATTGCATTGGGATTTTTTTGGGATGGTTTCATATTATCATTCTCAAAAAAGTGTTATAGCCAAAATTAGTTATTGAAATTTGATCTGATGTGATGCATACTAATTGGATTAAAAGTTTGTTAGTATGGCTGCAAAAACTTAAAGTCAAAGACTTGAATGATCACACCGTCACTCAGTGTACATTTGGGGACATTTTGAGCCCAGACGTTGCTGCAGAGTGAGCGCTCCCCACTTACACACTGCTGTCTGGGATGAAATCTTTCCACTACATTGTCAGATTGTCCTGTCCACATGGGAAAGATGTCTGTGACGGATATGGGCAGCCGCTGACCCGGAGCTAGGTTGAGTGTGACAGAGCAACTTAATACAATATTGTCACTGGCTTTTGTTGGATATCTAGTGTCAGAGGGAAAATGTCATCATTTGTTACTATATTAGGAGAATGTCACCCTGGACATCCTGTCAAACCTCATTCAAACATCTGGCAGTTCCATAAAACCTTTCTTGATAGTCTTTATGGAAATAAAGGACCAAATTGTAGAATATTAGTTCTGAACAGCCAAATGTGAAAAAATTGAAAATTCATTTCAAACAATTATAAAACTGTCAAGAATGACACAAGACGGACTCACACTTATGTTTTTGAGGACTTTTTCTTTCTACTTAACCTTTAACCTTGACCTATCCTGGAACTCTCCTGAACATCTGGATCACCCCTGGCAGCTGGATGCAATACTGGTCATAAACCCCGCCTCCTCCATGTAAACAGATGAGACATGCCCCAAACTAAAAAGCCCCAGCCCAATCACTGTTTTGCAAAGATGGTATCACCCATATGTAAAATAATTTTTGCAGTAACTTTGTTTTAAATAGCTAAAACAGGCCATATGTCAAAATTGACAGCTGAAATTGATTCGCGAATGGTCGAGTGTGACCTGGATACCCCAGATACCGCTATATGTCGATGCACACACACACACACACACTGAAGGACTAGCTGTAACTGTACTGTAAGCGCTCGTTGTTGTAGCTCACCGTAGATAAGAATGTGTTTGACCACTGGTCTGCGGCCCACAATAGATTAAATCTTGTCTCTTCTGTCGATCTCTCTTTTGTCCTGTATAATACATCATGTCATATCTCCATATCAAAAGCTGAAGATGCCTTGTGCCTGTTTAAAATTCATGGTTTTCTGTCAGTCAAACGCAATGCAGACATAATTAGAAATCAAATAAGTCATTTGTCATTTTGTGGTCGTGCTTATTCTCTTCAAACTGCTTATAAATGGAGGAGTACCCTGTTTAGAACTAATCGCAGGAAATCAATTATAATTTACTTAAAGTAATGTGGCACACCAGCCTACAGTGCCACAGTCGCTCGGTTAAAGGTTTGATATCACGTCCCCTGACCTTGATAATTTGTAGTGAATGAGACAAAGCGATACAACAGAGTCGATCTTCAGTTCCGTAATAGTTTTTTGTGTTGTGAAATGGTCTTTTCTTTATTTTGAGTACCTGCTCATCAACTAAATTTGTCAATATAAAGCATAATGAAGCATTTTGTCTTCTTGAGAACAACAATTTTAAAACATTGTCAGGTTTACCTTCAGCAATTAGACTTTTGACAGCAAACAAATGGAATCGGGCTGGAGAATCTGAGAGCTTGGTAAGACTCACACTTTGTTTTCACGCTCTGTTTTCTATTACCTTTCTGATTAATTGCTTTTTTATTGTACTCTTGCACGTCTAAATTAATTTCAGGGAGCTGTTGGAACTTTACATGCATTACTGTCCAGAACTACAGGTGCTCAGACTAGGATTAGAGACAGACACAAAAGGTAATTAAATCTAGTTTTTTTTCCTCGTGCTTCTCATTAGTCTTTTTATTTTATTTTTATGAATCTGTAGTTTAGGGACATGTTTTAGTGAGAGGTTATTCCTTGTCTTTTTTCAGCAGCAATCTGATTTTGCACTTTTTGTGTTGTACTAACAGTTGTCATTGTGTTTCCTGCCCTGGCGGGATTAGTAACACCACTTATGGCATGAATTATAAATCATCTTCATATCCAGAGTTGTCATTTTCTCTTGTGTTCTTAGGCTGTTCGACAAAACATCCTACTGTTTGCTACAGTTCGCTGATTCCCAAACAGCCTGACAGCACAGTGGCGGCTGCAGCAAAGCCTGGAGAGCCGAAGTGATTGTCAGGGAACCGCATTCACAACTGTTCCCAGGTCAATTTAGTGCATCGCAAGGGCTCAACTGAGGCAAATCCTGTGCGCCAATAATTTTGTGGGTTTTAATCTGGCTCCTGACATTTCCTGCATGTTATCTTCTTTGTAGTTTTACTTGTACGGCCGCTCCTCACACATCACACCAAGAAATACCTTTCTAATATTGAAACCTTTTCCTTTAATTCACAGTTTGAATTAGATTTTGTCAAAGAATGTTCACCTTAACAATAAATTTGTCGAGGTGTCTTATTCTTCTTTGCTGTCTTCTTGGTTCCTACTACTAAAAACTTTTCAATGTCTGTGGCTCCATATAAACACTTTTGTCCATTTGACAATTTTCAGCGATGTGATTGGAAGGAAGGTGTATTCTGAGTGAGAGTGTAGGAAGCAGGGAGTCAGGAGTCAAGACTAACAGAGGGTGAAATGTTTTTAGAAGTCCCATTTTTATCTCAGCTTCACAGTTTGTAGTTCTTCTCTCTCTGCCGCTTCATCGCTTCATATGAGAGCCAGGAGATATACTGTATCAATATTATATTGATAGCAGGAATGAGATCAGAAAACATATGATTTTGGTTATATAACTGAACAAGCTTATACTTGATTTTATCTTAGGCTTAAAGTCTACAGTATTATTAACATTTGCAATTTAAACATCCAGAATTTATGGAGTAAAAATGAGATTCATTTTTACTAATGAATGTAAGTATCCTAACTCCTTATTCTTTGCTTTCTGTCTATACTAACCTTTGGGGAAATATGAGCTATTTGTTGGCTTACTTATGTTCCATTAAAGTCATCATCTAGTGGTTAGCTGTGTCTATCAGCAGTTGGTGCTGAACACTTAGTGTAAAGAACATTTTTTTTTAAAACAGCTGTGTGTTGCAATCATTGAAAGGACAGTATGATAGCTCCCAGAAATTAAGCCAAAACATCATGATCACCCCCTGGTGGTTGGGTGCAGTATAGGTTCTAAACCCCACTTTCTCAATGTTAGCAAATGAGACATGGACCAAATTAAAAACTGAATGCATTTCTGAAAATGTTAATCAGGAGAGATGTTTTGTTCTATATAGGAACCTTTTCTGGAGATCATTTTTGGTGGTGAAGAAACTTCCAGAAACAGTATCTGTTCTTAATTTCCTCCTGTCAGTGGTTGTTAGAGGTCTGATCTCCACCACTCTGCTGTTTTCTGGTTTCTGTTACACTTTAATTTTAGAGCATTCCCTACAGTGCGATACCTTTTCCTTTGTTTTGGCTGCTCTAAACGAAACACGCTTGAAAGTGCCAACGTGTCAAGCAGACTGCAAGGTGGTGTTTAGCTGGACAAGGACTTCCACCCACCTTATGCTATTTCCTGTTGAGACAGTATTACTGCAGTGTCATGGCAGGTCAGGCTGATGTTGTCCACGCCGCACACTAACAACCGAAGCGCCGGGCGCTGAGCCAACAGATGAATGCCAACCAACAGCGGAGGGAGCACTCAAGGATAAGGATCGCATCTCTCCACAGTCACCTTTAAGTGGCCAAATTCATACAAGAAACATGAAGTCCCTCTCACCCGCTGCAGATTGTGGCAATTGTCTTATCTGCAGGTTGAGAGTCGACATCTGGCACGTTGTGTTCTCACATGCCTCAGGTCATGCTTATTGAGAGTCTATGGTATCTACAGTTAGACTTTCTTTTCAACTGAGCCAAGTGTCATTTTTGATTTAATTGATAATAGAATTTATTCCCATGCTACCAACTTGCACAAAAAGCATCTTGAATGCCACCTAATGGCATAAGCTGTAAATCCCACCACCTCCGATTTAGTAGAAGGGACATGGACCAAACTAAAATGTCTAAATACATTTCTTTATGTCATCAGTTTAGGTTTTATTACACTGCCAGAAAGGTTGGTTTTAATTGGTTATTTGATGTCATTAAAATGAGTTGAAACATGATTGACAGCTTAGACTGACTCACGATTGGTCGAGTGCATGTATTGGTGGGACCTACTTCGGCTCCTTCATCCAATCGCTACTGCAGGGACTCTGGCTTCATTTCTGGGTAGTGGGAGGAAGTAGAGATGCATCATCCATCTTTATATCCAGTTTATGTTTGCACATTGTAGTCTATACATCTGCACTTGAGGCAAAGAACAGCCACAAACTGTATTGGCGTCACTGAATTTGCATTTACTCTTGAGGAAACAGCATATGTACATACAACAATTTCTTAGAAATAGAATCTTCAGTACACAGTCATTTCTAAGACTCAGTTTTTAGTTCTGTATTTGTTTCAACAATTTATATGGAGTCTAGGGAAGAAAAGAACTTAAAGCCTGAATGCTGGTGGTTACAGTCGATTCCCAAAGCTGCCAGTGTTGTAGGTTGACTGCTCCCGAGTTCCTCTGGAGGTGTGTGTGTTTAAAAAAAAAAAAAGTGCTGAAAACATTCCGCGGCTGTGAAAAATCGCTTCAAAGGGGCATTTCAGTAAGGTTGACTATGCTAAGATGCATCTTAAAGAAAACACTATCTCTCTGTGATGGGTCTTGGTAGAGATGCATCCACATAAGACAGAGTCAATATGCATGAAAATTAGCAGAGCTAAGAGCTTCAATACTAACACAGAGGGGATGTTATAAAATACAACCCCCCTGAATATCATTGTTCTAGGACACATCACTCGTCATGGCTCCCAGCAAGCCTCCGAAAAAGAACAGGAACAACTACAATACAAACACAGACGGAGGCACAGATGCAGACAGATACATGTATAATGCCCTACATAAAACCCTGCTCACAACAGAACATTTTTATCCAATTAAAGCTTAGCAACCGTAACTGCACATTTAAAAACCATCCAAAAAAAGGAGCAAAAGTGTAAAGAACGGATTAGACAGCATCATAGGTGTAGTGCTGCTGGGGTGCACAGGAATCTAGCTCTGCCACACAGAGTGAGGAATGGGAATATTTTACCAGTCGCTCAATCCAGTTAAAACTTTGTAAATCTTTAACGCACTTGAAGAGGCAAACATCGCAGAAGGGATATGGTCAAAGTTACTATTTTGACATCTTAGGGGTACAGATTGATTCACAGTCATTGTGCATTGAGTGACAAGAAAATATTACATTCTAAAAGATCCCAGTAACTTATTAAGATTCCTCTTCATTGTCCCACACACAGCATGCAACATGCAAACATGGGGAAATTTGACCTCTGTATTTAACCCATCCATCCCAACATGGCCAAGTGTCAGAGAGCTCCCGTATGAAACTACACCACGCCATTGGGCAGTAAAAGGAATTCCTATATAAACCCATTTAATGGGTTCTTCCTTTAGTTACGGCCCTACTCCACAAAATGTCGTTATAATCTGTAGTTTTTGAGGAATCCTGCTGACGGACAAACACATTGCAATGAAAACATAATCTCCTGGCCAGAGGCAAGAATTCTTCTGTTGTGATTATGTTACAACAAATGCAAGTTAGCCTTTCGTCTGGTTGATGGCTTCAAGCATTAGCTGGAAACTGATTTTTAACCATCATAGTATTCTCTGCTAGCTAGCTATAGAGCAATGGAAATTAGCTAGTGACAGCTACAACCACAACTTTTGTGCTAACGTCCAATGCTAGCAGTCCATGCAATGCTAAAAGTGCTAGGTAAATAAACTCATATTTGAGTATATATATATATATCCTACAGCCTATGGGCCATACTAGACCCCAATGACCTCAGAGTGCATGGACACAATCAAGTTGTGGGGGTTAAAGAAGAGCAGGAGACGTGCATTCAGTTCACAATTAAACCTTTATTTAATAATGGGAGGACTTGAGAGGACCTGAGAAAGGAAAACATATCTAGACTCTTGTAAGTAAAAGCGAACAACATTTCCTAATGTTTATAAAAGCTCAAATAACTGAAATACTGAGACCACAGACACACAACACACTTTAACATAAATAGCAGGGACAATAATGTAGGCAGCGATCTTACCACAGGGAGATTCTATCACAAACCCCAGTAGACAGCACCACATGAGCACACGGTGATCACTACCACTGCAACTCACACTGCCAGGACAAACCACAACACACCGTTCAAGTGACCGCAACCCTTCAGGCCTACCACACTGCATGCATCCCACAACTGCTCCCCGTAGCTGCGTCAAACAAGGAAAAGAGTGAGACTCAGTTGATTCAGGGTCACAATAAAATATTTTTATACCACGATTATTAAAAGAAGAACAGTCCATCAGGAAATCTGGGTCGGGACACAGCCACACAACTGAACGTACCAGAAACCTCATTAGATTTCAAGCAGAACAAATCAAACATCTCTTTCTCGCAGAGCCTCTTACCTGCACAGACACAGCCACTACCAGGCATCTGACCAAGAGGCACAAATTGCCAGCACCTGTCCTTATAAAGGCGGGGAGCTCTCTAATCCCACCTACTAGAGGCGGTGCTTTCTACACCTCTCCTCAGGCTAATGTTGAGGTTCTATTCCCTCGACATTAGCTAGCAGTGTTCATTTCCAGGACATTTAGCTTCCTTTCTGAATAGTTCGAGGAAGTGGAGATGCGTCGTCCATCTTTACGTCGAGTCTGTGGACGGGACCTGTGTTTGCATTAATATTAATTGACTGGCTTGCACCTGTCACTTGAAGAGTTCGGGTTTTCTCAACATTTCCGCACACTATGAAAGCAAAGCGAAAAACAACGGAACCACGACGCAGTTCTCCATCATTTTATTCAAAGTGAACGAGCAGCGTTGCTGTTGAAGCACAAGCTCGTGAGCCAACATGATTCACAGCCATCAGCTAAAAAGGTGAAGCCTGCTTTTGTTTACGTCTGTGTGAAATTCGAGGACCAATTGTTTTCAATAATCACAGCAAATTTCAGGCGGTAAAGCTGCTTCCATCACCATCCTAAAGTGCGTATGTGCGTTGCCAAAGCAGGCAGCCAGACAGGTGTAGGAACCTCTCATCCTTTCATGCATCAAGCAGTCCCCTTCTGTCTCCTCTCCCCGAGCACTTCCCTCTGTCCCATTTCCCACCTCAGTCTCTCTCCCCTCGCTCTCTGCCAACCAGGATACTGACAATAGCTTCAATAAAGATGAATTGAAATTGGCTGTGGCTGGATTCAGCTTCCCAAGACACACAATGGAAAGAGCGGCGCAGTAATTATTGCTCTGGATTCCAGCACACTGCTCAGCAAACTCATCTCTCCCATGTTGTTCCTTTCGCCCTCCCCTGTCGTTCTCCACCTGAGTTTCTCTTCCTCTCTCGTCAATATTTCTCTCCACCTCCTCCTCAGTCTGTCTTCAGCTTCTCTTTCACTCTCTCCCTCCTTCTCAGCCTGTTTAACTCAGTACAGTCCATTATTGTTGTTTGCTAAAGTAGAACTATAATTTCACAGCTGAGGGGACAGATCAGGTCTGGAGTCGTGATTAATAATCTGACGGTGAATAATGATTTCATCCTCCATATTCAGCTGTAGGTAATTATCCGCTGTGTAATTGTGGAATAGATTTGCTGATGAAAAAAAAGACTTATTCAAATGTGAGATAGGAACCAAAGCGCCTTGGGTGTGTCGAGGCATCCGTGAAGCTAAATTTACATGGGATGCTTCCAAATATAGGCCCAGGAATAAGATTAGAACATTAGTGTGGGCGTCACTTCGAGCCTCTCTGGTCCCTAAGTTGCACCCGGGCTTGTTTCAGCCGCTGAAGTGAGGCGCGCTGCCTGCCTATCGTGCTCGTCACAACTGTGATGAATGTGTCAAAAGAAGCGATGCGAGGCGTTTCATTCTCTTTGTCCTTGTAGCTCCTCTTGTCCATAAAGATAATGGATTGCATTTTATTTTCTCGATGGAAGTCTCGGGATCAAGAGGTGGCGGGCGAAGCGGCAGACATGGCGAGGAGGGGCTGCAGAAAATGAGCCTTCATCTTTTGCCGGTGTTTGCTTTGTTTTTGGGGGGGGGGGGGGTAATTTAATGGGTCTCAAAGCAACCAGGCAGCGTACCAGGGGGCGGAAGACACTGAAAACACTGTAACTCACTTATGAGGATTCAGATGCATAAAGAGGAAACACTCGCTCCAGTGCACAACCACACACACATTTAAGTCCATGAAAAGCTTGTAAGAAAACAGGATTCACAATTTGCGTGCCTAACCAAGACGTTTTTATTGACAAGTGTGTTCTATATTTTTATATTTGCACAGCTTTGGTTATTTTGGACCTCGCTGAGGATGCTGACATGCCCATTATACAGATGATCAAAACAAAGGTCACAATGCAGTTAATCCTGGTTTTCGTAAATTGTACAGTGTGTGTGTGTGTGTAGGTGTGTGTAGCGTGGATGTGGGCGTGTTTGCTCAGGTTTGGTTATTTTGGGTGTTGTCAATGTAGAAGTGAAATCATTTTACTGTAGGTACAAGTTTCTCTAACTGGTTGCCAGGCAACCAAAAGCCTTGAGTTGGTCCACAAAAGGCATATACACGGTTATCCAGATGAACATTTACACACCACACACACACACACACACACATGAATGCACACACCTGCATGTTACTGTGGTAAACATTCAGCTCTAGTGGCAAATAAACAAGAGCTATCACCCCCGTCGCAGTGTCCACTCTGAGGTTTGTTCTCACAGATCACATGCCAGAGCACACAGTGTGTGTGTGTGTGTGTGTGTGTGTGTGTGTGTGTGTGTGTGTGTGTGTGTGTGTNGTGTGTGTGTGTGTGTGTGTGTGTGTGTGTGTGTGTGTGTGTGTGTGTGTGTGTGTGTGTGTGTGTGAAAGAAAGAAGGTAGCATTTTTCTAGATTGTTCTGCTTGAATCAACAATCCCCGTCTATATGCACACACAGCAGCACACCATTACAGAAACACATACATGCACACCCCCAAGTACATGCTCCACATATGCATGCATAAACACACACACACCAATGACAAGAATAATCTCATCCCTATTCAGGTGTGGGAGACGGGCGTCAGGTAGAGTTTTATTTCTTCCCCTCTACATTTTCTCATGATGACAGGTGGGGTAATGGGCCATTAGATTTCACACCAAACAGAGGAGGGGGTTTCAAGTCTAATGTAATGCTCTGTTGATAGAAACCAGACGCTGCTCTCCTTAGGTGTGTTTTCTTCTGCGGTATATGCCTGCACACACTTCACTCAAAATAAGGCCAATGATGTTAGAATGAGGCAATCTCTGCTTTTAAGAGGGTGTGTGTGTGTGTGTGTGTGTGTGTGCGCGCGCGTGTGTGCGTGTGTGTGCGTGTGTGTGCGTGTGTGTGTGCGCTGTGTTAAAAGAGAAAGAAAAGGCAAATAAAATGGGCAAAGGAATTGAGATAGAGCGTATGCATGTGGGGATGAGTAGTGAAAGTGTGTGTGTGTGTGTGTGTGTGTGTGTGTGTGTGTGTGTGTGTGTGTGTGTGTGTGTGCGCGCTCATTAAAACAGAAGGAGAGGGAGAGTGGAAGAGAAGCTGGGAGGGAGAAGCCTCGGTGCCCGTCAGCAAGGATTTACTGATGAGGAAGTAAAGGGTCTCTCATCTCTTCTTAAGACGTTCCCTCCTCAGCTTGCTCCTTCTCCACACTGCCTGTTGTTAATTGCCATTGTTCAATGCTGTAAATTCCCTTTGTCAGCACAAACCCTGTGAAGACGGAGAGAGTTAAAATTCTGACCACTTTCAAAGAGAAATTTCGTGCTGTATTTCTGCTGTAGGTGGAATCATTGAATCCACAGCTCCTTCAGCCGCGGCTCGTTTCAAGTTGAATCAGACGGTAAGACTGGGATGGGGCCCGTGCAACAGGTCAGTACGACTACTAAGTGATGATGATTCGGAACAGCGTACGATACCTAACAATCACCTTGACTGTAAATAAATGATGTGTACATTTTGCCTTCTGCTTGCAGGAAATTATAAAGTCAGAATTATATTTCAAGGCTTCCAGGTTCCTGCATAAACGAGAAACCATCCTCTCTGGAAAATATGCAAAAACACAATGACAGAATATTAGAGTCGAGTTCGAAGCATGAGAGGTAAGGTTATGTGCAGATTGACAAAGTTCTCACTATGGAACACCATAATGTTCAACATTAAAGTTCACCGCTATTCAAACGTGTATTTTTACATCACTCTGGTGTTTGAGCGTCGCTCTGCAGAGAGATATATGTAGGAAGTTTAATATTAGAAGAATGTTTTCACATTCATCTGCTGCAGGAAGGGAAGTTGTGTGTTCACCTCAAATTTACGTCTAATTTGTGACATTACAACTTTCACAGGTACATACAGGAAACATCTAAGTGATGATAGTGATGGTGATTCAGAACAGCTTGCAATATCTACGTTCACCTGACTGTAAATAAATGTTTGCTTTTTGCTATCAGGAAATGATCAAGTCAGACTTACATTTGAAGAATTCCAGAAACGAGAAACTATCTTCTGTGGAAAATATGCAAAAATACAATATATTTGAGTAACTGTTGAAACATGGAAGGTAAGGTTTTGTGCAGAAGGATTTACTATATTTACACCATTTTAAAGTTCAACTGCACTCAAAAGTGTGTTTGCTGTTTGCCTCTGTTACACCTCAGATCCAAATTTAATTTCAGGTTCACACAGCAGGTTTAATAACGCAAAGTAAGTTTAATAAACCATCATATGCTAGATAGAGATTAGAGATGTTGTGATAAAGATAAAAAGACATTAATCTCTGTACTAAGCCCTTCCCACATGGTACACATCATCTCTGTTGTGTTGTTTTCCACAGATTTGTTAAAGGTTACACTTATCTGCTCTAAAGTAATATAATGTTTTTGATGTCAAATGAAAAACCCGCTAAACAGTCTGTATTGTGGTGTATTGTCAGTGTCTGCATTTAATTGTATTAAAATATTTGTGCATTTTTCAGGACTTTCTGTTTAGGATAAATGCTAACGTTAAAATGCTAACACAAAATATCTGGTAGATTAGATGAAAATAAAAACATTTACATGAGATAAAACTCTCAGGGAAAAATATAATTAGGAAATAAAAACAAACATTTGTAAAATGAATTTTTAAAATTTTAAAATTAATGAAAAAAGGTTTCATAATTTATTCATTAGCATCTTTCGGACTCTGTATTGTACAGACTTGGTTTTCTGCAAACGAGACATGTCACTGTTATCAGGGGCAAGGCTCAAAAATGTGGGTCCAACGACTCTACAGCCGCTCAGACACTATGTCTCCAATCCTTGACGTGTTCTAGGGCCCATGTCCAGCTCTGGTTATCTCCACAGTCAACATTTCACACACACAAAAAGTATTTTAACTTTGGATGGGTGACGATGCGTTTTTGACATTATCCAATCACTTCCTGGGAAGTAT